TTAGAGTCGTCGACAATAACATATAATTCATCCGGGGATCCAGTCAAAACCTTTACTAAGAAAAGAGTTGTAGGTTTACATTATGAAGCAACTACTATCATTTTGACTAAACTTATACGACTCACTCACCGGTGGCAGCGGGAACTTCAACGATAAGGTAAATGTGTTTTTAGAGGGTGTTAGACGATAGAAGCAGGAAAGAAAAACACAAGTAAGTATTCGGTATTATTGGTGAATATGACACGATTATAAGAGAACATACCAGGCTTTAGGAGACTTTTCAATAAAGCAACTACCTCTTCATTATCATTACAGGTGGAAAGGATGAGTTCCGTTTCAGCTTTTTTTTCTGGATTGTTAATGAAGAAGGTGCGTAGAGCCGTTCTTTCCTCTATTGAATCAAGCAGTTTGATTGCTTCATAGACGTTAGACATGGTAGAATAGATGGGAATTGGAAAAGAAATCTATTGTCGCACAGATTGATCTGCCCATAATTTTATAATACAGACGAGTCATGCTTTACAATACTACATATAAAAAAAGTGCGAGAATGCGCCATTACGGAATTCCATAATCACGTGGACACATTTTATTCTTTCCGATATATGTCCACATCACAAGAATTTTAACGCGACTCAACTAAGGTACATCTGTTTTCATACATTATATAGGGAAAAAATCCTATCGTGTCTACATCGCATCTTCATCGCACCTTCATTACATCTATATTATAAGAGAAAATTACATATCTCGGATTTGCCTATCTCGGACCGGACGATTAATAATTAATTACCAGGAAATAGAATATGACTAACCTGAACTGGCATTTCGTCGGTATCTAACATTTCCACTGACACAGAATCTCCCTTATTATTATGTTCGAGAATGTACAGTCAAACCTCGTTATAACGATATTTTTGTTCCGCCAAAAATTATCGGTGAAGCGGGGTTATCGGTGAAGCGGGGTTTTTCGTTTTTACCGATAATATATGAGTCATACACAAAATATCGGTTTATCGGGGTGTTAAATGAAATTTTCAGGCTTTAATGTTAACACAAACTAATACTAGCAATTACGAATAAAACTATCAATGGACGTTTGCTTTTTTTTTTGAAATAGAGAGAGCCAACAAATTATTTCTCAAGCTCCGAGGTTTAAAAAGTATGCCTCTATCATAAGCAAATTTAGCAGGCGGGTTGGAAAGAAAGTTGGACAATACCTGTAGGCTGTCTAAAGCGGATTTGACGCTGACGGTAGGGTAACAGCCAGTTTTTCAATTTCGTCTTCCTCATTAGAGAAAGGAAGATTTACTAGATAACGATCAAACTAACCGTTGGAAGCACCAAATTTTTCAACACCTAAAAGAGCAGCAAAGTGTTTGGCCTTGTGCTTAAGAAGATCGATAGTAACAGTGATATTGTCATGAACGGCTTGCGTAAACCATATTGTCAACGCCTCTTCAATCTCAGGATATTGCGGTTTACGGTCTCTTTTTCTTTTTGATGAAAATTCATCATTATTAGTGGCCAACCACTTGTCTCGTTTATTCCATATATCGGATACAGTGTTTTGCTTAATTCCGTATTGATACGCAATAGCAGTTTGCGTCGGTGCAGGTTTTTGAGAAAGTAAAGTACAAATCTCTTTCTTCTGTGCATGAGTTAATATGACTCTTTGTCCTTTCATTAAAGCAGATGTTCACGCCAGGATTGATGAAAAGAATGCGTATTAAGTACGTAATTATGGAAAAATCAACCAATCAAAATGGTTAAACTGTTCCAAATTTAGTAAATGTTACACAACTATCGGTAAAGCGGGGTGAGATTTAATAGTAATGCCATGCATGTATCGTTATAAGGTTATAACGGGGTTTATTATAATTTATCGGTATAACGGGGGGAAATGTCTATGTAAAATTTGGGAGCGGAATTTTCTATCGTTATATGTAGATTATCGGTATAACGGGTATCGGTATAACGGGGTTTGACTGTATTTGAGTGCATAAATATTTTCCGAATATTTCAGGTCTTCTGATAGTTTCTTTATTTGCGCATTTGCTGACATAAGGCATTGTTCCATAAATCGAAGTATAACTGTAGAAAACCGCCGCCTTGACTTGTAGTATAGCTCAGTGCTGATGTACTGGTACTAGTATTAGGCGCACTTGCCGTGGAAAAATTGTAACCGGTTGCTGAGCTAGAACTCGTCGACGTCAGGATTGAGCTTTCAGCTTTCTATAAAGTAACACGCAATTGTCAACGAATAAGCAAATGGAGCAGTCCAAGCTTGCTTTCTATACTTCCGATGACGATATTCACTGTATATGCGCAGTTCATTTTACATGTGCTACTGTAACGCGTCCCCGCTAAGGTTGATCGCTCGCATCGGTTATCGTCCACACCCACATTCATCATGAACGACGACACTCGTTGGTTCGCTCATTACCAAAGTACGTCAACAGAATTACTTGACAGGAAGTATACCTAAGATATGAAGCTAGAGTATGAGTCAGATATCGGAATGTTGTTAATATAATATGTTTGGGCGTCGTTGACTGTCAACTTTGCACACTATGGTTTGCCAGTAAGTTAACTTTAGAAGAGTGAGTCTATTTCATCTGCAAAAAACTCTAACCTTAACGCTTTGATCACTATAATCATCGTTAGCATATATGCAACAGTCGCAGTGGGCGCCAAGGTACATAAGCGATTATTTTACCCCTCTCTTTAGTTTGTGATTTCATAGCGTTAAGTGGAACTTTCTTCCATATATACGCATACCCTATTCTCTGGCGTTGCTAGATTTATCATTACTCCTATTGCCTGATACGGCTAGTATAGAAGAGTATGTATTGAACTTTTCGGCGAATTTTTTAGATATGATTATGATCGGTGCATTACTTAGGACGTTTGCCTCCTCGGGTTATTGCTAATGTTCTTAACAGTGACAGTTCATTACTTTTGGCAGATGTATTTGTAAGATTGTTATAGTTAGCTCAGATTGGACCAGGATGATCAATAGTCTTTAATTGGAGTAATTATGAAAGTGTTTGAGGAGACAGAAGAGGAAACGGGAGAAAGTGAAGGGGAAAAGAATTGGCCGTTGCAGCGGGTAATTTTGTTTTTTACGACTGTTTTACAAGTTTAAGTTGTGGGGAACGTGTTTATTCAGTTGATTTTTTACTTGTAAATGGATACAGAAAAGAATTCTTACAACAGACTAAATGCATTTAATCATGCATATAACCATGGAGTCAAGTTTAAAGAATGCAAACCACCATGGAGTCAAGTCGAAAACTTCGGCATTCAAAGAATTCCTCACATATTGCACGACTTTCTTTCAGGGACGTTATTGGACGATCCGGCAATTCTCTTCGGGCAAGTGATTATCCACAGTCAATGGAGATATCTGTGGGCATTGGCAGCCTTCACCCGAATGGCAAAACTTCTCGATAATGGAAATTTTGTAGGGTAAAGTACGAGTGGATGAGACACTGTCTGCTGGGCCGAACAGCTGCATAAATGAAGATGTTCACGTACCAGCATGGTAAGGCCTCTATAATCAAGTACCAAGGAAGCTATTTCCAAAAAGACTTAAGCCTTATTACTCAACGTCCTTCCTCCACGTACCAGTATCGGTTCTGATTTCATCGCTTGTAACATGTTGATATTCTCGCATTCTGTATAGATTGCAACTATCAAGATCTAGTAGAATCACATTCCTTCTCAGAGGCTCTGTTTCTGTTTTCACACAAAGACATTCCATAACTCTACAAAAGGTCCAAAGTGTATGTCAGTACGTTGACCGGTTGCTTGTTCAACACTACCTGATAATTTTCTGGGCGTGAAAAATAGAGAACGCGCGATTTGGATGGGCATTTGAGTAATTGTTATTGTCGAATCCGAAGTTATGTGTATTGTCTTCGAGTATAGGAGAAATACATCGTATAGGGAGTGAAGAGAAGCGCGCATATAAATAATTATTGTCACTTTCAATTTAGTTCAGCCTTAAGTGAGCAATCGTTGGAGTAAGGGCAGCGACAAGAGCTAAATTGTGAAAAACCCCCTCTCGGCAGAATACGCAATTAATTGCTCTCCCAACCCTATTGTGGACGCCGACCGTAACATTATGTGTTCCTTCACACCAATTTTTGAATGTGAGAAAAGCATTGGACTCAGCAATCCCCAGCAGAAAGGCAAATACACGCAGCTGCCAGTTTGAACCCCACATAACATCATGAAAGGATGTCATATTATCTCGCACCTATTAATTGCTAGTATGTATTATAATTAATACGTAGTTAAGTAATATAAATTATCAACATACCTGATTATTAATATCAACAGCTCCTTTTGCAGTTGAGTATTCAGAGAAGATTTGTGGTCTTGTGAATTTAACAATTGTTGAGTTATTCTGCATCTTGACTACACGTTCAACTTCATCACCCTTTGTTGTTGTTGATGCTGTTGCTATAATGTACTGTGGTCCGATCCCGCAAGGAAGCTGCAATCAAATGTATACCATCAATTACTGCAATCTTTGAGACATAAGATCCATATGTATTTCCGAGCTTTTCAATCATATCACGGGGATAATTTAGTGGCCATGCACGTCTTTTCTTAACATGAAAGATACCATATATCCCATTTTGCATTAACAGCACAAAGTTTTGGTAATCCAAACCAACTATCACCAACTATTGTACGCCCACTACCAAACCATGGCTGTGCCAAACGCAGCACATAACTAGCAGTACTACCATAACTCGAAACAATCGTTTTGTCTTTTCGATCTCCTTGTCTTCACATGGTTCTGATTGAATGATAATGTTAGTGGAACCATCGGCAAGTACTTTCCCTTCTCGTCCCACTGGATATGGCTTTCGTGGAATCTTGCGACGTCCGGGAATCTTATTTTTCTCACCTAACCGTGAGTTCATTGACTCATCAACACACAAAACCTTCCCAGGGCACACTGCTTACTAT